GCTGAGCAAATAATCCTAGAAGCTGGACTATATGAAGAACAACATGGCATCAGGATTGGACAAAGACTCATTAAAAACCTGCGACATGCACATGACACAACTCTGCTTCCTGAAAGTGAAGATGACTTGAAGCACTTACTGATAAAGATTAAAGACTACAGTGTTCAGTATGGATTACACCTTAACATAAAGAAAATGAAAATCCTCACAACTGGACCAATAAGCAGTATCACGATAAATGGAGAAAAGATCAAAGTTATCAAAGATTTCATATTATTTCGTTCCACAATCAACACCAGTGGAAGCAGCAGTCAAGAAATCAGATGACATATTGCACTGGGCAAATCTGCTGCAAAAGACCTCTTTAAAGTGCTGAAGAGCAAAGATGTGTCTTTTAAGACTAAGGTGCACTTGGCCCAAGCCATGGTATTTTCAATCACCTCATATGCATGTGAAAGGTGGACAATGAATAAAGAAGACCAAAGAAGAGTTGATGTTTTTGAGTTGTGGTGTTGGTGAAGAATACTTAAAGTACCATGGACTGCCAGAAGAACGAACAAATCTGTCCTGGAAGAAGTGCAGCCGGAATGCTCCTTGGAAGTGAGAATGGCCAGACGTAATCTCACTTACTTTGGTCGTACTGTCAGAAGGGACCATTCCCTGGAGAAGGGTATCATGCTTGGTAAAGTGGAGGGTCAACAAAAAAGGGAACGGCCCTCAATGAGATGGACTGACACAGTGGCTGCAATGATGGGCTCAGGTATAGCAAGTGTTGTAAGGCTGGCGCAGGCTCAGGCAGTGTTTTGTTCTGTTGTACATAGGATCGCTACGAGTCAGAGTCAACTCAATGGCACCTAAGAACCACAATAATATAGGTTCAAAAATTTTCAAAATATAAATTACGAAGAAAGAAAAAAGTCAAGCAAACAAACAATCATCGTCATCTGTTTTATCCAGAGCTTTGAGCAGGTTCACTGCAGTCAGACCCCCTGTTGGGAATTTGCATTTCCACCTGAGATCTAATGACCAAAATCCACTTTTTAACAAGATCCCCAGATGACTCCTATGTGTACATATTTTTCAATTTTTCAAATGTACATATAAGCATCACCCAGGGATCTATAGGAATCTTGTTAAAATGTAGATTCTGATCAGTATATCTGGGGTGAAAAGACAAATTCTCAGCAGGGGGTCAAATCAGAATGAACTGGTTTGAAGGCCCGGTTTTATCATCTGCATCACTGCCTGGAAGGAACCATGGACCAGGAAAAAGACCAAAGCTCACTCTTGAGGTCCCATGCAAGCTGAACTGAGCTCAGGACAACCAAGGTATCGTACAACTTACACTGTTAATACCAACAGCTTCCAACCTTTAGCCTCATGTTAGAGGAGACAAATGAACTATTTGCTTAAACCATTATTAATTGTTTTTGTTACTTATAGCTGGGGTAGGGGGATCACCGTAATATTCTGACACAAATCATAAAAGGCTTTAAGAAAATATTTTAATGTTTTACATTCTACACTGATATGACCCCACACTATTTTGTAAAAGACACATTTTTCATTATCTGAAAGCTCGTCATCTTACCTCATTCTTCCACAGGTGATTCTGTAGTGCAAACGCAGTGAAGTCTCTTGGAACACAGAAAAACCTGCAGTCTGAAGTGGTGCCGTAAGAATTATTTTTGACTTGTTCCGAGTCTTTATTAACCAATTCCAGAATCAAAGGATCAATTAAGAACACCGGTACATTTTGGCTGGATGTTAGCATAATAAATTTTTTAACTGCTCGCTGTTTGAGAGGAAAAGAATCCCCTTAATTCCACTAAAACAATACAACATAATTTATTACATTTTTATTCATCAATTTTCAGAGAATGTATAGGGTTTATTCAATAGTTACCGTGCTTACCATTCTAAAATAGATTTTTTTTTAAGAAAACCACAGTCCCTGCTCTCAAGAAGCACACAGTTACTAAGATGAAAACGTATTTACAACACAAGATGAACCATGTCAAAATTAAAATATCTACAGCATAGTAGTATTGAACACTAAGCTATTAATTAATTGTATATAAAAAGGGATATCTTCATAGATGAAGTGGTATCTGAGATGAAAACTTTGGGCTTCAAAATGAGTCTCTTGGTAGTATTAGCTAAATCTTTTCAAGCAAAAGTGGGAGAAGAAATCATTCCTGTCAACAAAACTAACTATACGTGCTAGTTTCCTTCGTATGTTAATATTGCTTAATAACTTTAAAAAACTCAGACTGAAACACACTGTCTGCTTAATCATCCTCATATACAGTTTGACATTTTAATAATATTGCAATATTATAAATAGATTCTGCTAGGTAGTAATTAGGGTCCTCTACTAAAAAATCGAATTTCAAAATCAGAATGAACACGAACTCAATCATACTTAGGAGTAAATACTACCTGAGAGTAGCAAAGATAAACAGAATAACTGGTATGCATCATTGCTTAAAACCTACTTTAATGAAAGCAACATTGATTTCACAGTGATGTAAGCCCAGCAAAAAGGTGCTTGATGGCATTTAGAATGAATTCATATTCACAAAACCTGACAGATACTGAGAACTCGAAGTACAGCAAAACAATGGGAGAAAACTAGAGATTAGTCCTGTATCATTTGTTTCTAGTGGAGAATATTATGCAAATACCAGTAATACAATGATCTCTGCCCTGGAGGGTTTATGATCTCCTAGTGGGATAGACAGCTAAGTAAAAAGCTACAAAAGAAACAACCTATGGCAAAAAACTCAACAACTTAAATGAAATGAACAAACTGCTTGAAAAACACAACAAAACTACAATATGAAGACAGGAAATCTGAATGTTCTGTAACTATTACAGAAATTGAATCTATTATTAAAAAAACAAAAAACTTGCCCTCAAAAAAAACCAAACCA